GGGGACCATTTCCTTTTAAAGAAATGAATTTGAGCTGGTCAATTCCCGGCCTGAATCGATGGCCTGGCAGACAGGGCGCACCATGATGTGGTAGGTGTGCTGTGTGGGTAAATACGTGCCCATCGAGGGAGACTCCTCTTTTCTCCTGGGCCCACAATGCTATGCAGGAGTCAGTACTTTATTAAAAGGTATTGTCCGCATGGGATGGTAGTATGAAAACCAGATTAGATAACGTAACTATCTGATTATTTTGATTAATATAGAAAGTCAGATAGCACACCTGGTGCGCTGTCCTCAGCCCCAGCATGCTTTGTAGTAAGAAATAGCCAGCGTGTCGTCCCTGCATGCTCTAAGAGACATCAGTAAATTCCAGAAGGAAAAAAAAAAAAAAAGAGTGAACAATCTATACCACAAACTATTTCTTAACCCTCTAAATTTTCTGTGCTCACCAGTGGAAAAATTAGCTCCTTATGCATGAGAGCTGATGTTGGGTTGTTGTTATTATCAGCGAAGTAATTATTCGCTCAGCACAAGAAGAAAAAAGCCAATATATTCTATCAGGGAAGAGCTAGTTTTTCAGGCGGACTACACATAGTCTGAACATTGGGATAGAATTTAAATCAGCCACCAAATGAGTTAGTTTAACACAGAGCTGAGATTGAAAACCTTGCCATTGGGAAAGAATACCAAAATGGTTATTCACCATAAATACCAGTCACAGAGGAGAGCGGCTAAACCAGCGGGTCATGCGCAGTGTTCAATGCCCCCTAGACAATTTGGAAAGGGGAAGAGGAGGTGGAATTTCCCAAGAGCTCTCTGGAATGACCGTACAAAGACAAATGAGGATGAGTGTAAGAAAAAAGACCAAAGCTTACACTATGTTGCATTGTCCTCCACACAATCCTCTGGGAAGCAAGAGGAAAACAAATTTAAAGGAAAAAGAAAGAGAGATTATTCTATACATAATAGCACAGCATAGGTACAACGTTTAACTTTGTAGGCTGGCATTCCATCCACCCCCGCCCCAAGCTCCCACAGAATGACCAGAAGAATATTTGAGAAGCCTGTACACACAGTGCGATGTTGAATACTTACTGGAGGTTCCTTTTTCTAAACCATCGCGAACTTCATGAATTAACTTCCACATCTGTTTTTTTTTTTTTTTTTGCTTTTAAATCTACTTTTATAAAACATATTCCTCTAAGATACACGATTTAAAGTATAATTTGTTCTGATGAATCAGCTGGAGTGAATGACAGACACGCCCTGCCCTGTGTGTCCAGGAGCTACACAGCACATTGGGCTTGATTTTCTGCGCTGTACACTAATTGTCTTCCCCAGACGACACTCTGCAATATCTCTGTGTTCTCGGATCTACAAAATTGACCCCTTTTGGTTGCTGCATTTTTATAATCTGTACTCTCAGTGACATTCCAGTGGAAGTTTCTTTTAAAAATATTCATAGTTTCATGTCAAATTATGTCTGAGAATTCATGAAGTATAAATTTAAGGGGGAAAAAAGGAAGAAAACCAATCTCTTGCAAATAATCACCTCTGGCCTACTTAATTGCAAATCAGTAACGAGGTAGGAATAGAGAGCCACCAGCGTGGGGATTGGTAAGAGGAAACACATGGGACCAGGCGATCAATCTGTTAACCAAATTAGTTGATGGCATTTGTATCTTCACCAAATCATGGCTGCTGGCAGGAAGGGTGTGATGGTCTCTGATGAGTTGGCTTTCCATCAGCAGCTGAATTTATACAAATGCACTCATTCTTTATCGGAAAATAAAAATAACTTGAGGCTAGTATGTCTGAAAGCCACTGACTACCTAGACTGATTTTTATGCCCATAAACTTTAGAGGAACAAAGGGAAATGTGTCCTAGTGATAGAAAAGAGTTTACAAGTTCCTTAAAAATCTAGTATAGGTTAAATGATGGAACTGATGGATTTTTCAGAGAGAGTTTTATTTTTAATTATTTTATATAAGTTCTAGCAGCAGTTTTCCCAGGTTGGGGTTAGGAGCTTTATTTCTAAAATAAACCCCCTAATTACCCGTTCACATAAAAAGTTGCTTTATCATAACTGATATAAGAACATTTACCAAAAGATAATTAACACGGGTCCTCATTGTAAGTGGTAGTAAGAAGCAACTGTCCACGAGCTTTACAGTTAAGTTATTTTCACTTTGGCAAAAGCAGTGGGGTGACTGGAATATTCTTCTGATGCTGTCCTTGAAGCATTTCCTTTGCTGAAACACTTAGAGAAATTAAGGGAAGTCTTTCCCAATTATCTTCCTTTTCTGGGACACATGCTTCTTATAAATATTCAGAAAACATCTTTTCAGGAGAAAATTAAAACAGGAGTAGATGACATTGTTTAGAGACTTATTTATAAACAGTCCAAATAGGCTGTAATCTATGGCAGACCCATCAAGAGGGTTCACCAGTGCTTATATCTTGGAGATGGTTTTGTCCAACTGTTGACACAGAAGTTGTCACACAAACGGTCCATCTAAGGGAACTGGTTTACCTATCCACTATTCACAAATACACGGAAACCTCAAAGGGGAGAAAGCCTTGGGGGAGCCAAGGGCTCCAAACAAAAATTCTGATGTTAGCTTTGGGCCTCCTTTGTATTTCTCAAGAATACCCTTGTATATTTCCTTTTGATGTGGAAACGTCCCCTCGCCCTTAGGGACTGGGATGGTAGCTCCAGGTTGGTTAATGGCTGGTTGTGAATTACAAATTGCTAATTCTTAGAATCTGGGAATTTAACTCAATAAAACATTTATAAATCTGCCATTCTCCTTTACAGAGCCTAAAGTCACACCCACGAGGCACTAAATATTATGCGCTGTCAAAGAACTTTTTAGAATAAAACCAATTTATTGACTTAAATTCCTATGCACTGAATTTGGTCCTTATGCACTCTGTCTGGTCCTTGGTTTTTATTCAGGACCATATGATTAATCATTATGATTTTTTTTCAGAAAAAAAATTAAAATACATTTTTTTGGGGGGGGTTGCATGAAATAGAAGAGCCTAAATCAGCTCAGTATCTGCTATTATTCTTTAAGACTTTTATATTTGGGGCATTTTGATGATCATCAATGAATTTCCTTTATCAAAGGCTCAAATTCCAATTTTCTTATCTATCAGATATGAAACATCATGTGAAAGTTTCAAGGCACTGATGCTTTATTTAGGTTGTAATACATTGCCCACATGCTGTTGTCTTGAGAAAAATATTTTTCTTACTCTACTCCCCCCATTTGAGTATGTGTCAAAGGGGAAAACATTAATTAGTAGTCATAGATATCATTATTTGGATCAAATTCAATGCAATTTTAACTAAGTGCCTAATGTTCCCAAATTGTTTCTAAATTTTACTTTATTGTGGTAAGAACACTTAACACGATAGCTACCCTTTTAACAGATTTTTCAGCACACAACACAGGATTGTTATCTATGGCACGATCCCTAGGACTTCTTCATCTTGCCCTGTGCCCCATTCTTAAATGAAAGTTTATGAAAATTCCAAAAGCCCGAATTATTCCAATAGCTACATTCGAGCCAACTGAAACGGAAGAAAAGAAAAAAAAGAGAGAAAGAAAGAGAATTCAAATCTGTACTCACCATTTGTGCTTTGGTTAAAGGGATCCTAACATACAGAAGTTTGTAAAGTGAAAATTCAAAAATAGAATCTAATGACAACGATCATTTCTTTTAATCAATTGGCTTGTTGTTCAGGGGGGGTCTAACTGGTTGTTTAAAAGAAGAAAGGTGAGTAATTTAAAGCTCTTCCTGACACTGTGAATAGAGAATAGAAATGACGAAGGTAAAGTAGCAGATTGAAGCAATCTGGAATATCTCCTTTCTGAAAACTACACTGAAGAGGGGTTTTATTTGCTAACAAACAGTAATAAGTTTATAACGTAATTTAGTGGCTAATGACTTCACTTACCCTTTCACTTTGGCGCTTTGTGGCTAGGCCTTAATGTTGTAAGCACATTTGATTTTTATGGACAGAGATGCTGAGATGTACTTATTGAGAGGCCAAACTCAACCAATTTAATCTCACGAGTTCTACTTTGTAGAAGGATATTAACTAAAATGATAAAGTAATTTATAACAGTGACTAATAAAAGTATTTTCATAACCAGAAACTCTTGAGATCTGAGTGTATATGACATAATCAGATGTGGTTTAAGTATTTTATGACCTTACTGTTTTTATCTGCTAATTTTATACCAAGATAATTGGCAAAACAACATCGACATCACTAACAATTACAGGTATATAAATTGTTTATAGTGCTATAAATTGCATTGAAAATAATAGGGCAGGTTTCTTTGAAATTATGAGCTTTTAATTTTTTACAGCAAAATTTGATTTTTAAAACACATTAAAAATGGTGTTTACTATGTTTATGGTTGTATTCTCCAAGTAACTTGCTTTGTTGGTAGATATCATTCAGTCCTCTGACACACATTTAACTGGATCCAAAAGGGACTATTTCTCAGGATTCCAACTTTTTAAAGACACACAATAAAGAAAAAATGGTAGTGACATTGACTCAGGTCTCTTGGCAAGGTCTTTCAAACAGAAAACTTTGTACACAAGAACACTTAGTAAAATCACACTGTTTTGTAACTGAATAAATAACAGAAGCAGAGGAATAAGAAATGTGCTATTGTAATTATATCTCCGGAAGACATAGTATCTTGGTCTTCAGATTAATATTTTAGAAGAAATATGAAGTTGAAAATTTGGCGACTGCATCGGTGGATTAATAGTGATAAGATGCCTTAAATAATCTAATTCATGACATCAAGGGAAGATCTCATTATTTTTCAATATTCTAATTAAGACCAGGAGCAGATACAAGAATGAGATGACTTTTACCACCAACGTTTTCAGAGTCAAATCATGTCTTCTAAAGAATAACCCTGGTAACGGGAAGTGCCCACCATGGCCATCAATCCCAAGAACTCACCAGCCGGTCCAAGCTCGTGCCTGCAGCGGTTGTTGGTCTCTCCTCGGGATTGTAAGGCCTGAACCTCGTATTAAAATTTTCAGGAGCTGAGCGAGCAGATCTGAGGGCTGGAGCAGGTTTGGGTTGACCGCATCCCTGAAAGACCTGGAAGAACCATTGGAGAGGTCAAGAAAGTTACACAATGAATCTCTTCCTAAGACCATGGTGTAGAAGCATGCAGTGGGTTGGCTTTACCATTGTTCCTGGGACTCTGACCTCCAATCAACTCTAATCTCTAAACTTAAACAACTACAACCATTAATATAATGGAAAGAACTGACTAGACAGATACGGGGTGCCCGACTGCATGCCCTGGCTTTTATTTTCAACACATACAGTCAAACCTCATTATTTACCAATTCTGTACTGTGAATTTACCAACCCGCTAAATTACTGTGTAAGTCCAAAGTTGATACTCGTGCACTTCCGCAGACATGGGCAGAGTGGCCCTACAGACATGTGCCCAGATGAAGCCAAGGCAAGTTACACTCTGCCTTCTTGACTCAGCTTGTACGCTGAAAACAAGTGTCATTTCTGTGGCCTATTTAGTGCCACATTTTCCACAGTTCTGTGCTTTTACTTGGCAATTTCCCTGTTTAAAATGGTCCCCAAGCTTAGTGTCTAGTGTACCTGAGCACAAGGGGCTGTGATGTACCATATGGAGTAAACATGTGTGTGAGATAAACTTTGTTCAGGCAGGAGTTATAGTATAAATATACGATCTTAAATAAGGTTATGTATTGGTTGGTTGACCAAAAGGTGACTAAAAGCCTGTGGGAGCCTAGCCCTGTGTCTCCATCAGTTCAGTATGTGCTCATTCAGTATGTGTAGCAACTTTATGAAACATAAATACCACAAATAATGAACACCGGCTGTATTAAAAACAGGAATTACAATCATTACGTCACAGGATGATTTCAGGATTAAACGAATTGTGTCCGAGACATTTTCACGTACTTGCATTTGGCATTCAGCAAATATCCGTTTGGGATTCCTGTTATGGTGACAAATGTATTTCCTGTACAGCATAGAAGGCCAAATAAAGTGAGTGACTCCCTTTTGAATAATGAAAACGTCTGTTCTTTGAAAACCTTCTCTGGAGCCACGGTGTGGAAATAGGACAAGCCCATGTGGTAAAATCCCTATAATGACAGAACCCTCTAATTTTGTTGTTGACAGCTGTTCATGTCACAATTAGGTTTGCTGTGGGAAATCAAACATTTCACTGTAATGATCTTAGGGACCGAGCAACCAGCTCTTTTCCATAGTGATTTCACTCATAGTGGGGTGAAGATGCGTCTTTGGCTGTTTTTAGACGCTTCGTACTCTCTGCTGGGCATCAGGAGAGGATCCCATTCCTAGAATTACAGAAACTATAGCAACATTTTCAGGAATTCTGATGCAGTTCAGCTTCATGTTTCTTCCATTTTTACACTTATTTGGGTCAACTTTCTGCGACTATCTACGTCAGCTAATTCTCAACCTGCCTGTGTATGTTCAGAATGTATTCCTTTTGGTTTTGTAATTTGATTCCGCGTTGACTCTGACATAAGCACGTTTCATCATGTGCACTATGGGATTCTACTGAAGTACACAGAGAGCGCGCGAGTGCCATTGCCATTCGCAATGACAACTGCCATCTCCAGACACAATTCATTCAGTTGTACCACTACAGCTAATTCCTCTTTTGTTGTATTCAAAAGTTCTCCTTCAGCTCAGCATTTTGCAGAGCGGAAGCACTTTGTCTTGGCATTCTTCGAGACTGGTCTTAACACACTATTGATTCTTCTTCTCTCACACAATTTCTGAAGTTGATGGTGTAAACCGGTGCGATAAAGCTAGTGGGCCCTTTTCTCCCTAGTGCCTCCATCACTTCCCAGCGGCAAGGTCATTGCTGATAGAGGGTATTAACATTTCCAAAGCTCCAGGGTTTTGTTGAGTGTGCTATTTTGGATTGCTCTGAATATGATAGCTGACTTTTAGAAAGTGTAAAGCCTAGGGCAAAACAATGCTAATGGCCTTGTTGGGGTTTCTTGAAGCAGAGTGCTGAAAGAGTTAACAGACCTTCTTAATTTGCCCTTTGGGAAAAAATCTGGCTTCTCTGGTTTAAATTAAATCAAAGCAACAAAAAATGCCCTGAAAGAGAATTAGGGCCCCGGGGGAGATATTTCATCACAGCAGAGAACTTTACCACTTGTTTGATTTTTTTTTTTTTGAGAGTGTTAATTATAATAATAGGACATGAGTAAGTCAATGTAGCCCAGTAGCTTTCTGTTATTTATATTTTTAAGATGGCTTCAGTGAAGAAATTGTTGAGAGTATGACCCAAATGGGAGGAAACACCGACTTGTAATTATAATGGAAGCCACATCTCACCCCGTCCTCGGCTGGGGACTTACAGAAAAATCTGTTGCAATTTGTCAGGATATGAATCTTGAAGATCCTTCAACACAGATTCTATTTTACCCTTAGAAAGAAAGGAACTGCCATAAAGAGACCCTTCAGTGTAGAGGTGCCATTCCCAGGGGTCAAGGGCTGGTTTTCGGAAACCAGAAAGGAACAGTTGCAAAGGAGACCAGAGCACTCATTCACCCTGTCATTGCTCGGGAGTGATTAAAATCTCTTGTCTGATTCTCAATGCAGAGACCATGTCTTAACATATATATCTGTCATATTATTGAGATGAGTTATAAAGTGAAAATCAGTGATTCCATTTCTAATCCATGCAACCTGTTAGTGAGACAACATGTTTCTCAAACATGGGGTTCATGGGGTAGTTGACAAAAGGAAGTCTTTTGCAGGACATTTGGACCGTCTCAGACAATTTTCGGAGCTTGCGATGGGAGCGATAGAGTTAGACAAAGTTCTGGGCTCACAAGGCTCAAGGCTATGTTATTATAAAGGACCAATAAGCTGTTTTTCCTGTGGCCTGAGTACCCCAGTATATTATATTTTGAATAAGGGAAGAAAGAGATGGGGAATAATGTGAGTCAGTAAAGTGAAAGGTTCCATGAGGTTAGGTCACATGAAAATTGGATTCTGAGGAGTGGGCAGGGTTGGCGGTATAGATTTGGATCATTAGCCTAAGGCGATATTTAAAGTCTTGTTGCACTCACCAAGGGCAAGCATGTTGATAGGTGGCATGTGGGGCTGAGGACAGCCCAGTGCCCTGCCAACATCCAGGGTCCTCCCTTAACTTCAGTTTCCTCCTCTGTCAGGTGGGAACAACACCATTATTTACCACACAGATAGGCCATGATGATAAAACCCAATACATAAGACAGGAAAATAGAAGCCAGTGTTGGGAAAAGTAAGTGCTTGACAATTAATTAGCTAATTATGTTATTCTACAATCTGTTTCTTTCTAGAAGTTTTGTTTTGTGAGTAAGTGGACTTGAGGGGGAAAAACTATCTGGGCTGATGTTTCTTAAATGTTTTCCACAAAATATTACTTCCAAGGGTTGTTAACAGTTGTTACATATGCAGTAAATTTCTTGGGTCAAAGTTAAGTTAGGTGCTTAGGGCAGTAGGACTTTGTCATGTGAATGCGTGTTCTGACTCATCAAACGGGAGGAGGTCATTTGCAGCCTTGCCCACATCATTTGGCCTCTGGCTCCCCAGGAAGCACGGGGGGATTCTCACAAGATGGGGGTTCCAAGGAACACACTCTGGGGTACACAGTGAAGGGTGTTCTAACCAACCCATAGAAGTGATTCAGGTGTTACACTGAGATTAGATGCATTTACTTACAGGTGTTTGTGAATCCATGCTACTTCCACTACTTGTCTTCTTTTTTTTTTTTTTTAGATGAAGCAATTTTTAAAAGTTGAGTTGTATTTTTAAAGTTGAATATATACTTACATTATATTCCTTTCAGGTGTATGACATAGTGAATCACTATTTTTATATATTATAAATGTTCACCTCACTACTTCTAGTTGCCGTCTATCACCACAGAAAGTTATTACAATAATACTGTCTATATTCCCTATGCTGTACTTTACATCCCTGTGGCTTATTTATTTTATCACTGGTAGTCTGTACCTCTTAATCCTCTTCACCTATGACACCCTCCTCCCTTCTAGCAACTGTGTTTCTTCTTTCTATTAGCCTCTGTTTTGTCTTGTCTTCTTTAGTTCTTTAGATTGCACATATAAGGGAAATCCTATGGTTGTATTTGTCTTTCTCTGTTTGACTTATTTCACTTAGCACAATCCTCTAGGGCCATCCCTGTTGTGGCAAATGCAAGATCTCATTCTTTTTTATGGCTAGGTAATATTCCATTATATATATGTGATATATAATTATATATATGTGTGTGTATGTATATATACATACATATATACACTATATATATACACACACACATATACATGTATGTATGTGTATATATATATATATATATATATATATATATATATATATATAACTTCTTTGTCCACTCATCTATTGATCAATAGTTAGGTTGCTTCCACAGCTCAGCTATTGTGCTACGATAAACATAGGGGTACATATATTTTTTCAAACTGGCGTCTTTATGTTCTTTGGATAAATATCCAGAAGTGAAATTCTTGGACTGCATGGTAGTTCTACTTTTACGTTTTTAAGAAACTATTGTATTTTCTAGAGAGGCTGCACCAATTTACATTCCCTCCAATAATGAATGTGCCCTTCAAAAATTTTTTTTACAGTTTATTTATTTATTTTGAGAGAAAATGAGAGCATGGCGGCATGGGGGAGGTGCAGAGAGAGAGGGGGAGAGAGAGAATTCCAAGCAGGCTCTGAGTTAACAGCACAGAGTTTGAGCTCACAAACCGTGAGATCACGACCTGAGCCGAAATCAAGAGTCGGATGCTTAACTGACACTCAGGCGCCCCTCTCCACTACCTTTTAATTCAAGAGAAGAAATACCATTTTTAAGTCACTAATGGTCTTTTCTTTACAACACAACAGAAGTTTCTAGAGAGCACAGTTGCAGGTAAGCCACCTCATTGTGGAACAAATCATAAGCTTTATTCCTTGAAGAAATAGAATCGGTATTATCTTCTGCCTGTCTTCCTCCAAGAGATGTTGTAATAGATAACTAGATACAGTGGTTTCCTCCC